TGTAATTCTCCCACCAAGAGAGAGGTAGTTCTTTTTCCAGGAAACCATTCTTTTTTCAAACCTTTCCACCACCGGGTTCCAAAAGCTCTCTCTCACGGGATTATCACCTAAAGGCAACCCTAAGTAGTTCAAAGGCCACCCCGAGACTTCACACCCCAGCACTTCAGCACTCTCCCTGATCTCTCCCTCCTCCAAATTCACTCCCACAACACAGCTTTTCCCAAGGTTAACCTTCAAGTTAACCCTGATCTCTCCCTCCTGTATCACCGAGGTACGAGCTTTTACCATCCAATTAATGTTTAACCATAACATAGAGTTGGTCAAGCCTTTTGCCAATACTGGCATAAACAGAGATACACTCAGAAGTCAAAACCCTGTACTTTCCTGCTCTTTTCTGTCTTTTAATTGCTTAATTAGTTATTACACAAACCCTATCATATGCATGCATACAAACATTATTAAATACATCAATTAGTTTTTCACATATTTCATAATTATCAGGACTTTTAGGCAATTTTGACAAGGTTCACAAATCAACATTATCTACTTTAAGATCTACAGCAAGAAATGTTTCTCACTTCTAGAATTAACTTATCAAATAAACAATCTCAAGAAGAGATCAATCAAATGACTCATACAAAACCAAATGAACTGGACAGTCAAATCAAACAAAATGGAACAAGTGAACCAAGCAAAGAAAAAGAGCTGAGTATATTCAAACAAAAAACAAAATGAGTGTGTTTCTGTCCCAATACAAGTTACTTAGTAAATTACCATACCGCAGACAAACTATATCAAATTTGCTGGATCAGTATGGAGTTTGGAGGCAATGATCCTAAGTATAAATCCAATTGAAATTTCAAGCCACATTAGAACCAGTTGAGGATTGGTATGGAGTTTGGAGGCAATGATCTAAGTATAAATCCAATTGACATTTCAAGCCACATTAGAACCAGTTGAGGGTGTATGGTATTCAAGACAAAAATGTATAGCATTTAATGCCTCTTCTCTAATTACTCCACAGGGCATGATGCTATTTCTATCAGCCAATAAAATATTCAAAATAGTTTGGATTACACATGCAAGCAGAAATTAGAAGCTTTTTGCACCCTGAGTTATATCACAATTTTCTATTCTCACACCCACTCTTGTTTTATCTCTTGCATTCTGAGAACTTGGTTAAGTGTGAATTGAAAAAATGCACATTCAAAATAAAATATTCATGTTGACTATGAGCATGAAATAAACTTTGCAAAGCTGTTTTCTTTTCATTTTTTTCTTTTTTTTTCTTTTTTTTTTTTGAGAAACAGTAAAATATAGTTGTATTAAAGATATGTAAATGGGAGAAACTCCCATTACAGTGAATGGCTGTACAATGCTATGAATATTCAAAAAGAGCAAAAAGTATAGTAATTACAAAATAATAGTTCCTCTGTAATGTTAGTTGTGCAAGTCCAAGAGAATCTGCAAAACTGTCAATTATGCTAACATACTTAATATAAATTAAAAGCTTATTTCTCAATAAAATTGAAAATTGTATGTGGCAAGAGACATAACCTAGAAGTTTCAGTTCCAATGTTCTTCTCAAGGGAAAAATATGTCCCCAGAGATAATCATCAATGCCATTATTTATGGAATTTTTCCTAATAAAGGAATATGAACTGAATGCTGATCAAGATTTGAGAATGAACACTACTAAGAAGCATGAGAAGTCACATAAGTAGGATTTATTTGTAAGTAGGTACTTTTCAGAACCATAATATCAAACAGAAAATTCAAGGTGAAAAAAACTACCACAGTACCACTTATGCCATATTTTCAATCCTTTAACAGAAGCAAGTTATTTTCCATAACATTTATATTAAAAGAAATTAAATGAGATGGAAAAAAAGTTTCTGCTGCAAATATGGTGGAAATAATGGATGAGGTATTTAAAGTCCGAAAAGTCTTCCATCTTTTTTTCATTAAAAAAAAAAAAGTGGAGCCTTGAATGCAAAAAATAATTGTTGTCAAACCCGTATTGAACATCAAAAACTCATTTCTACTGGGCCACAAGTCAATGGATCAACCATCTGAGCCAACACGCTCAAAGAAAAAATATGATTATTAAAACAACAATACATCATAAAACAACTATTAAAAGGTCTAACACCTATAACATGGTCACTATATAGCATCTTAACCAGTTTGGCATTTTGGGGAACCAGTCATTCTAATAACTACCTTTTCATTGGGTCATAATCCAGACTGTTCTAATGCAAGTCTGACAACACTGTCCAAAACCTATAAATATAATATGCAAAACAGATGATCTCAATTATTTTTTTTTTTTTTGAAAAAGTAAGGTAATTTTATTCAAAACAAAAGCGCATGCAAGCTGGATTCAGACCCAGAAGGGCAGCCTTTAAACCACAGCAATTACATTCTCCACCAGGAATTAGAGCAAGGGAAAGAAGACAAATTCAGACTTTTGAATTCCTCAGAAACAGAAACTCAAGATATCAGCTTGCCCACAGCTCTCTGAATGATACCTTCAGGACTTTTAGCTCTATTACAGAAAATCCCACTATTCCATTCAGCCCAAATGGACCATAAGACAGCAGCAGGAATAGTCCTCCACACCAGACTCCCTTTCTTGTTTAGCCCTTTAACATTCCAGCAACAGAGAAGCTCCTTAACCGACCTAGGCATAACCCAACTGATATCCAAGGATTTGAGAAAGTGTCCCCAAATCTGAGAGGAAAACAGACAATGAATGCACAAATGATCTGCCGGTTCAGTTAGGATCCCACAAAGACCACAGGAAAGATCCATAATATGAATGTCCCGCCTCACAAGATTAATTCTGGAAAGACATTTGTCAAGGGCCATCGTCCAAATCAAAAAGTTGGCTTTTGATGGACTTATAGAATTCCAGATCTGTGAAGCAGGGAAATCAGTGAGGCCCAAACAGCAAAGCTTAGAGGCAAGGGATTTGACAGTAAACTCACCATCTGGATTCCATTTCCAGCACCATTTGTCTTCTGATAGCAGATCAATCTTCTGCTTCTGAAGAAGAGCCATCAGATCCACAATCTCTTCTAACTCCCAATCAAATAGATTCCTCCCAAAGAGGGCGGGGGCGGGGGGCATGTAACAGAACCACCAGTCGAACAACAGCCTCAGCTAAGCTTCTTGGTTAGAAGCACACTGAAAAAGTAGAGGAAAAGACTCCACTAGAGTCCCATCCAAACACCAAGGATCCTTCCAAAATTTAGTTCTATCCCCTTTACCAATCTTGACTGAAATCCCTTCCATGAAAACAGAGAAATTCTTCATGATAACTTTCCAAGGGGAACTACCCCAACTTGGGAGAGGATCCCTAGATCTCCAGTTACCCCACTCCACCCCATATTTTTCAGTTATGAGGGATCTCCACCAGGCCTCTCTTTCAGCCGACAACCTCCAAATCCACTTGCTAAGGAGGGCAGAATTAAAACTCTTCAACTTCCTAATGCATAAACCACCTTCGGCCTTAGGAAGACATACTTGGTCCCAACTTACAAGGTGAACTTTTTTCTCCTCTTCCCAACCCCTCCAAAGAAAACATCTCTGAATCTGCTCCAATCTTTTAGCTACTTTGTTAGGGATGGGGAAAAGAGAAAGGAAGTAGGTAAATTGGAAAGAGTGCTTTTTATCAGAATAACCCTACCCCCAAAAGAGAGATACCTTGCTTTCCAGGATGCCAATTTCCTCTCCATTCTTTCAATAATTGGATCCCAAATCGAGGAGGCTAATATACAATGGTGATTAAACTGTCAAGGTCAATTTTAGGCCCTAAAACTAGGTATTCTAAAATCTGGAACATGATAAAACCAAGGTTCAAAATTTTGATACGATATGCCCCGTATCAGGCATACCGTATCGTATTGGTAGCTTCCCAGAACCCCAAATAAGGAGTCTTTCGGAATTTGGAAACTTTCAGGGGGTAGGCATGCCTAAAACCAACCCCTTGAAACAATTTTGAAAAAGAAAATAAAAAAAGTTATGAAGTATCAAAACACCCAATATGCCTATACATGTGTATTGGGCGTATCAATACTTTAAACCATGGATAAAACAACAACAAGAAGCCTGATGGAAAAGCCTGATAGGGGAGCCTGGTGGAGAAGCCTGATAGCTTCTAAATTCGGGGTTGAGTGGGGAAATTGGAGAACAAGAGCCCCCCTCCTAACTGGGGCTACTCTTAATGAAAAAACATCATGAAGTTCTTCCCCTTGTTTGATGGGGGAATTAGTCTCAAAGTTGGTAAAGGGGATAGGGTTAAATTCTGGAAAGATCATTAGTGTCTGGACCATACCTTGGTTGAAGAGTTTCCTCTCATCTATCAGTGTGCTTCCAACCAGAATGCTTCAGTGGCTGAGTTATACACAGTCTTGGGCAATGAGGTGACATGGGTTCCCTAGTTCAGAAGAGGTCTTTTTGATTGGGAAGTCTGAGAAGCTATGAGGTTGTTGGAAACTTTACAGGTTCAAAACATTGACTATAATCAGGATGATCAGTGGAATTGGGTCTGGTCCAAAGAGGGTAATTTCTCAGTAAAATCTATGGCTAGTAGACTCAGTAGTAGAGTGGCAGTGGGGGACTTTCCTGCTGAGCAGGTTTGGAATTCAGTTAGCCCATCAAAAGTTAATTTCCTTTTCTGGACAATGGCCTTAAAAAAATGTCTGTCCAGAACTAATCTTGAATGAAGAGGCTTGCAGATCCCGGATAAGTCTTGTGCCCTTTGTGATGATCACCCTGAGTCTACAGATCATCTATGCATTCACTGCTCGTTTGCTGCCCAGGTGTGGTACCACTTCTTGAAGGATGTGGGGATATGTTGGGTCATGCCAAAATCTGTTAAGGATTTGTTCTGTAGCTGGAAGATCAGTAATTTGAAAAAAAGAGGGAAACTGGTCTGGACCTCCATCCTGGCAACAGTGATTTGGGCTATTTGGTCTGAGAGAAACAACAGAATTGTTAAACAAAGAGTGAGAAGGCCTGAGGAAATTTGTCAGATGGCTGTTGGTAAACTGATATCCTGGATTTCAGTCGCCCCAGAATTCAAACATATAAATGTAGCTCAGTTACTGAGAAATCAGTCAATTTGGTGCTTATAATGAGGGGTTCTCAGGTTTGCCTTGTTGTTGGCAGGTTCTGTTTTGTACTCTTAAAAGTTTAATCTTATAAATTTACCTTACCTTTTCAAACAAAATAATAATAAAATAACAACAAGAAGAAAGAATTTCTACCCCTGTTAGTCTAAAAATAAAGCCTACAACCTATCAGATGGAAGCTAACTTGAGCAGAGAAAAGAAAACCATTTTTTATGAACAAGAAAAGAAAAAAGTTCAACATAAAACAACAGGCACATTACACACCTTGTGAAAATTAAATACCAAATCCAGCTCACACACATTGCTGAAGAAATGGTCTAATATCTCCACAAATAAATGGATGCACTCCAAGTATGCTAATTCATTGTCTGTGATATCAACACAAATTGAAAAGAATAATCCAGCATAGCGCCTGTAGATGACCTTGTGTGTGCGGAACTGCAAGATAAGATTTACAGAAACTCAATGATCACTTTAAGGAAAAAGCCAGAAAGATCATTCTATTAATAGCCAGAGTAACTCATCCCAGTAAAATAGTTGAATAAAATAATACTGGAACAGAGGCAGATATTGAGCTTTCTATTGTAAAATGTAGAATACCTTTTTAAGTATTGTATTGTAGTTCATTGTAAGCAATTATATCATCTCATGTGTATTGATGTACACTGGGAATATACAACAGTATAATACTATAAACCCATAGAAAAAGGAAAACTGTTGGACAGACATTATCAGCCAATCAGAATATTTTTTTCCTCAAAAAAAAAAGGCCGAATTCTATAACACAAATGATCACATTAAGAGACACTGCAGAGCATGACAAGAAAGCTAAAGAACTCATGTTTTGTACTTATACTGCACACAACACTGACAAAATACAAAATAATATTCAACTCTATATCAACATTGTAGTTTGTACTACAATTCCAGATATGGTTTTAAACTCAAATCCATTTTTTACAATAAGTAATAATGAAAATTATGTATCAAACATGATTGGTAATTTATTGAATGGCTAAGAAACATAACAAAAAATATTGGGAGAAGTATATTAATAAGCATCTTCATATTTGAGTTCACATGAGATGAGAGAAGAGGAATCCAGATGGGGTTTGATCCAAAAAGGATTTGATCCCTCTTCAGTCAACTTTGGATCGATTTCCTACCAACTCTTGTAACAAATAGGTTTTGTAATCTGAAACCAAGGGTACTCACTTAACATATCATATGAACCGAAAGAAAACATAACTTTTAGACATTAAAATTGTGGACGATACTAATACAACACCCCGTAAGGATAACATACGAATTTGGCCAAACCCAAACACTGTGACAGTACATCTTAATCCAACATTTGTTAATTGACCCTGTGCAGATCTCCCCGCATATTTACACAAATTTTTCTTATTCTTTTTTTTTCTCATAGAGCAGATTTTTAATGCGGTTATAATAAGATTAGAAAATCTTGCCTAATATCCCCGAGCATGGTTACTAAAATGAAGCCTAAAGTAAATTATCAAAATGAGAAACGACGGAGTTAATTTTATGAAACAGAGACGGGGGAGGGGGGGACAGGGTGGAAGATCACCAACCTCGACGAAATTCGTGAATTTGGGATCCCTGTTGACAACCAAACGATGAACCTGGAAAGGAATCAGAAACGGAACCCTAGATAAGCTCAGTACCTCTTCGTATCGATGGCGTAAAATAAGAAAAAAAAAAAGAAGAACTATAAAGAAACTGTCAACAAAAATGATTCATGAAGAATCAAGGTAATCTTACCTCGTATTCGACCTTGTGCTTCTCAGATTCTTCTAGAGGAACGTAATACTTGGCGAGACGGGTCTTGCCCTGCCTGTTCTGTAGCAATATAAACCGGATCTGCAATAAAAAGTATAACATTTTCAGACCTTAAAAGTTAATGAAAATCCCTTCTGCAATTAAAACAAAAAAAGACGAGATTACCATTTTCGAGAGAGAGAGGGAAGAGGCGAAGAGAAATATGATCAATGTATGCAGGAAACGAGGATCTAGGGCAAGGAAGGAGGACGAACTTGATCTTGGTTCTGCTTTGGGTTGGTCTCCTCTGTCGAACAACACCAACGACTGAACCTGGTACGGGAAACAATGTTGGAACTCGGAAATTGGAAATTTGGAATAGATGGACCGTTTACCTGATCACCTCAGACCTGTTCATGGGCCGGATACACCATCGGGCTTGGTCACGGCCTCGGGCTCAAGCATAAATTTTAGGCTCGCGATCTTAGGGCCGGGTTCGGGCTTAGACGTATTCTGTTGGTGTGCTGAAGCCCGGCTTGAATAGGTGTGATCTACGGTAGTACGGCCTACCCTCGTCTGATGAAGTCAAGACTCAAGACATATGTGACATAGATATTCGACGGAGCCATCTAAAGCTGTGTTTGGGCGGGCTTTTAAGTAGGCATGTTTTGAACAAGTGTTTTTTAGGCGTTTGTTTGGCATCGATGCCGTTGCTCCAGAAAACAGAATGGTACTCTAGGAAACGCCTAATTGTTTGGAACTGTTTTTTTATAAAAAGTGAGTCATGGTTTGGAGTAATGCCGAATTTGGCATTTTCTCAAATTGCAGCTTGTTGCTGCCAATGAGGACGTGATGTGGCAATAATGTGGACTTCCTGTAATGGGTACCAGTGCTGACAACAAACATGGAGCACTGGTACCAAACAGAAAGTGTTGTTGCTCTAGGAAATGTCCTACCTAGCAGCAACGTTCCCAAATAGAAAAAAAAAAGACAGCATCGATGCCAAACATATACTAGACAAGTGTTTTTTCAGTGTTTGATTTTAACCTTCCTTGATGGGTTTCTTCTTTAATACTAGTAGGACCTATGCTTAGTTAAGCGAAAGTTAAAAAAAATGGAAACACATAAGAGGACATAATATTTTTATATTTTAACTCTTTAAATAATTAATAATTGTTTATTTGTATATACTATTTTTAATAACTTTATTACAATATGAAAATAAAAATAATTAATTTCAGCTAAATTAATAGTCTAATCACTAATAAATAACAATAGTTTAATCCCCAATAATTATTGAATTACTATTAAATAACAAACTAAAAGTAGATATATACATAATTATTGAAAATATATTGATCACAAAATTACAATTAATAATTACTGAAAATACAATAAATAATAACTTTAGTATATATAAATATATAATGGATATAGATAAAAATTTTAAAACTATTATTAATAAATATTAATTTTTCAGAATATTTTTATTATGAAATTTATTACATATTTTTGTTATCTAGAAGCTCCAATACCTCTAAATTATTTAATCTATTTTCATTACTTCAATAATATTTATAATTTTTTGAATTATTTATATTTTACTTTCTTAATAACAATTATTGTTAAATATATTTTAATTATTTCTCCGCTTTTAATAAATTTTTTAATGTTATTACATTATTTTGTTATTGTTAAATATATTTTATTTGTTAAATTTTAGTTACGTTTAATATTTCGATATTTAAAATATTTAGTTATTTAAATATTTAAGTAATATTTAATTTGTTAAATTTTATTATTTAAATAGAATTTAAATAACAAAGTTATTATACTTTTTAAAATATTATTTAGTTATTAAATTGAATAAAACATAAAATTATAATTTATATTGTTATTACATAATTTAGTTAAGAATTTTGTCAAAATATAAAATTATTAATAATCTGAACATTTTTTTTGTATTTATAATAAATATTTTAAATTTATTATATAATTTTGTTATAATGTTTAAGTATTTCTTAAATTTTTAATTCAAACTTTCTTTAGATAGATATAAATGACAAAATTGGAGAGAGGATAAATAGGAATTAGAGGATAAATGTTTAAGTAATAACTAAGAATTTTTAATTCTTAAATTTTGTTATAATGTTCCGAAGTATTTCTTCTCCTATTAAAGTTTTGTCATTTGATAGAAATACTTTCTATTTCTATCTCTTCTTCAACCAAATTTCTCTTGATTTTACTCTCCATAAACTTTCTTCTTGAGCCATCCACATATTATATTCAGATACTAATTCATCCAAATTTTCACTTTTTCTTCATTGTTCACTTTCTGCTAAACTTTTTGTTTTTTTCTTCAAGAAATTTTAACTTTACCTCCACTTTTCCAAATATTTATTTGTTCTACTCCTTCAGCTTTTATTGGCATTGTTTTAATTTCCAAACAATAAGTGAGTTTTTTGCTCTATATTCTTCCCTTTCTCCCATTATTCTATGATTAACTTCTTGCATTCCTCATCCTCTGGCCAAATAGGCAAAAAATGGAATTGTTTCAGTCTAAGTCTTATACTTGGGTTGGTATTTAATATCATCAATGAATGGTTGGTGTATAAGGATTGTTTTAGCTTATTTTTTTTCTTTGGGAAATATTTGCATCCATTCCAATGAAGCTAATCCACTACCTAATTTCCCTTTCACTAGCCTAGGACCACTTTGACCATTCGACCAAGTGAAAAAACCTCCAACTATTCTCAAATCTTGTAGATTATGCTCATTTACCAAGTTTCTTAGAGCCTTTAAAGTTTTATTCCTTTTCCTAGTTATTAGGGCCTTCATATTCTTCATTGTAAATATAATAAATTAGATCTCCCATTAACATCCATTTTTCATTATTTTTTCTTTTGATCTTTTCAGATTTTCCCAAAACTCCTTTATGCTTCTATAGTTTGGGTGGCCATAAACAAGACATGCCTAGCTTCCACTTCACCTCTACTGGATTATTCTCAACTGATAATAGGAAATAGTGTGAAGTTTTTTATTCCATAGTAATTTGCATATCATACTTCCAACAACAGAACAAACCACTAGCTAAGCCCTCTACAGCCTAGGGGTGTCAATTGGATTGGATTTGGTCTAATCCGATCCAGTCCAATGTGAGTCCATTATAAATGAACCAGGTCCAATTCAATCCAATGAATGTTTTGGACCAATTTGGACTAGTCCAATTCAATGTCTAGACCGTCCAATCTGTTTCAATTCATTTTGATTTAAATTTGTTTCAACCCAAACCTAGTCCATTGATACATCTATTCTTATCTTATGTCAATGGACTAGATATTGGCTTAATCCAACCCAATCTAATATAAATTTTTTATGGACGGACTAGGTCCAATCCAATCTAATAAATATTTTGGACTAGATTGGTCCAATTCAATATGTCTTGTTGGTACATCTGATCCATCCAAAATGATTTTGGACTGGATGGGGTCCAATCCAAAACCAGTCCATTGACACCCTTATAGCTACCCAAACTACTTGGGTATACCCAAGAGTTTTCATTAATTTTTTATGCCCCTCTTGGCTCAATTTTGTTTATGCCAAAAATAAAATATCTGGACTGTTTTCTTTGATGGGTTTCCTTAAAAACATGACTGAATGAGGATTATTATAACCACAGATATTCCAAAAAAAAAAATCCTTTTTCCTTTTCAGTGTTCAGCAAAGAAGAAAACCACCACAAAAGGAAAATGAAAATGAAGTAATTGGTGGTAAGGTGAGAAAAAAGTACCTAAAGATTATAAGGGGTTACAAACAAAATGCCGATATGGTGAGTTTCAAAATGAGTCTCCTTCAGATCTACAGATCGGAAACTGACATGATGCCAAATTCTTCTAACTACATCTCTGAGATCCTTAGGTTGAAAGCATGAAACCGGATTACAGGTTGGTTTTAGTTTTCTTGACCCAGGAACCAATTATATGGCTATGACTTTTTTTGAATAGTTAGGGTGCCCAAAGAGCAGGACAAATCAGGATGATGGAACTACAAAAGCTACTTGACATCAAATCTGATGTACTTCAAATATTTATTCTCTAAACATTGACTATCTTCCTTATTCCTTGGTTGAACATCGCACTTGCAAGCGCAAAACTTTAGAATAGCATGTTATCATAAACATTTATAAGTATTGAGGGGTTGGCCGACCCTAGCTCTTCCATTCTTACCAAGGAAAGCTCCATCCTTCCTGCTAAAGAGAGCTCCAGCCCACTTACCAAAGAGAGCCCTAGATCTCTTACCAAAGAAGGTTCTAGTCTTCCTATCAAAGAAGGACTAGTTACTATACAGAGGACACTTACCAAAGAGAGATCAATCAGAGCAAAAAGGAAACTCTCCTCTTAGCAAGTTTCCTACCGAAGACCATTCCTTATTTTTCTATTTCTGTTCTTGTAATTATTTCTAATTTATTCTTTATTATTGTGTATAAATGTTCAGCCATGTACAACCATTCAATATAGTGAAATTCGACCCATTCTTTAATCTTCGTCTTTCTAACTTTGACTTGGTATTAGAGCCATGGCTTACAACACCCCAATTGTTTATGAGATAATGAGCTTAAGCTCAACCTCTTCCCAGAATTCTTCCCTACCAATTAACATCAATTCTATTCCTAATATTTCACATTACCTGACAATCAAACTCAATGGCAAAAATTTTCTTCTCTAGAAAGTTCAATTGCTTCCAATACTTTGGGCCCACAAGTTGATGGAGCTCATTGATGGATTGGCCAAGCCTCCCTCAGAAGTGATTCCATATTCTATTGATAGCAGTAAGAGAATTCTGAACACCTGGGTACAGTTACATCAGCTGGTCCTAAGTTGGCTTATAGCTTCTTTAACTGAAGGAGTCTTAGCACAATTCTTTCGACTCTTTACAACCGCTGAAGTCTAGAATGCTCTAGAGAAATCTTTCTCTTCTCATTCTTGATCCAGGGTACTTCAACTCAAACATCAACTTCAAAATCTCAAGAAAGGGAACCTATCCATCAGTGATTATGTTCAGAAAGCCAAAACAATTACAAATAGTCTCTCTGCAATCTCAGAACCAGTAGCAAAAGCATATCTGGTTTTATACATCCTATCCAGCTTGGGCAGTGAGTATGAATCCCTTATTACAACTATTACAAATTGAGCTGATCAGCTCAAATATTAGTGATGTTCTTGGATTACTTCTAAGTCATGAAACTTGGCTTTTACAGCACAATTTTTCCAGTGAAAATCCTAATGCAATTCTTGCAATAAATAATAATAAAAATTTGACTTAACATTTTTCAGCCCTCTCACTTACGATCAAGGCAGGGTGGCAACAATCGTGGCAGAGGCAGGGGGCGTGGTGGTCAACCCTCAAGCCATGGACAAGGTCGTGGAAGAGGAAATAGTATTATCTGTCA